CTGCTGTTGACCCATGACGAGTCCTTGCTTCCCCAATGTTGAAGAATAACACCAGAGAGCACACTGAGGCAAGGTCAGAGTAGAAATTAGAAGTTTATTAAAGGACAGCAGAAAAGACTTCTCCCGGAGGAAGAAGGGGACCCAAGAGGTGGAATCCATGGAAGGGCTGTTGTCTCCCCTTTTTATAGTTCTTTCAGTGATGGAATGTAGATGGGAAGGCCTGAGGGGTGGGACACAGGTAGGCCAAAGAAGTAGTCTGAGCAGGAAGGACTTCATTAACACTTCTTTGTGATGGGCTATCTTCAAATCTGCTGGGGCTGTTCATTAACATTCCTTTGGATGGACTTTGGGCCTAGGGCTTTTCTTGGGACTTCATTAACATTCCATGAGTTGTCCTGCATTTCCTGGAATTCATTCTCAGCATGGCCTCCATTTTAGATTTCACTGATATTAGACCCGATTTACCTAACTACACTGACTACCCAACTTTAAATCTGGCTTCAGTATAACCAGATAATGGAATAATGATTCAGTGTAAAAGTAAATGCTCAATCAAGTCACGAAAAGACAATGGAAGAACCCTTTTTTGCGGGAGGGGAGGGGCGATACTGAGGATTGAACCCATGGGGCTTTATCACTGAGCCACATTTCCGAGTTCCCCGGTTTTAAATTTTTTTTCTTTTGAGACAGGGTCTTGCTAAATTGCTTAGGGCCCCACTAAAGTGCTGAGGCTGGCTTTGAACTTTTGCTTCTCCAGCCTCACTTTCCTGAGTCACGGATTGCAGGTACCACTATAACTAACTTCAATTGTAATTAAAGGAAGAAAAGAAACAGCAAGTAGGAGAAAAAAAAAAAAGAAGAAGAAGGTTGTGAGTATGAGGACATGTTTTTGGAAAATGGTTTTCATAATGGTTTCAATTATGGCTAAGTAGTTTTTGTTGTTGTTGTTTTTTGTTTGTTTGTTTGTTTTGGGACCTAAAGTCCAAGATGAGAAAAAGAGAAATGCAGGGACTACGGTTGTGGCTCAGCGGTAGAGCGCTTGCCTACGATTGGCGAGGCACCACG